GTGGAGTGTGAAAAAGACGCTCTAAGTGGCATTTGTTATAGATGACATGAGTAGGAAGACGATTGATGAGATATGTGGCTGTAAGAAACGCGTCATCTCAAAATTTAATAGGCACATCAGCATGAGCTAGAAGGGCTAGGCCAGTTTCAACAATATGACGGTGCTTGCGTTGAGCAGACCCATTTTGTTAATTCGTGTGAGGGCACGAAACATGATGAGCAATTCCAAGAAAACGAAAGAATGTGTTATGAATTTTATGATATTCCCCCACCCAATCAGACTGGACACACTTGATTTTAGTATCTAGGAGGCGCTCAACATGAGCTTGGAACTGCAAAAGTATACGAGGAGCTTCTGTACGATCATGCATCAAATAGATCCATGAAAATTTACTGAAATCATCAATGAAGATAATATAATATTTAAAACCTCCAACAGATGAAGGTGCAAGGCTCTAAACATCAGAAAAAATCCGTTTCAAAGGTCATAAAGACCTATGAGAAGAACTAGTATATGGTAACTGATGACTTTTTGTTGACTTACAACGCATTACAAATTGGCAAAGGTGACTCACTAGCACACGAAATATTTTTGAGACGCAAAATTGACTTTACTACTTGAGATGAAGGATGTCCAAGACGTGCATGCCATTTGGCGTGATTAGTAGATCTGCTCACTAAGGCGTGCTTGAGATTATCGACATGAGATGGCTAAATAGGATAAAGACCAGATTTACACCTCCCATCTAGAAGACTTTTCCTCGATCGTCGATCCTTAATAGAAAAATGCCAAGGATGGTATTCAAAAAATACGTCATTATCATGAGAAAATTTATGAACGGAAAGAAGATGTTTGGAAATTTCAGACACATGCAAAATATTACGCAATGCAAGAGGACGAGCAGTAGTATTAATTAAAGAATGACTAGTATGCAAAATACGCAAACCTGCTCCATTGCCGACTTGAACTTGTTCACCTTCATGATAGCTTTCACACAGTGAGCCGATCCAGGTCACTGGTGATATGATCAGTGGTGCCTATGTCACTGTACCAATTTGAATCAATCTTGTCAGAGGAAGTAGCTACTAGTGCTGCAGAAGGAGCAGAAGGAGGTTCATCTTGATAGGATTCATCCATCCTATGCCAGCAGCAGAACAACAGTATGTCCCACTTTTCCGTAGGACGAGAGGGCACATAACCTTGAAAACGACCATGACCATGATCCCTACGCCCCCGGTTCTTCTGTTGACCACCATGACCAGCATAATTGGCAGAAGATCCAGGATTTAACTGAAGTTCAGTCTGGTGTTGTAGTTGGCGAGCTTTAAATGCCATTACATGTGTAAACACTTCATCAAGCGTGAGGGCTTCACTCTTGGTAGTCATTGAGGTGACGAAGGGATCATAGTCAGGGCCAAGATCAGCGAGAAGATACGCGATCACATCATCATCTTGCAAGGCAGAGCCAGTGGTGGCCAGCCCTTTGATCTTGCAAAAATAATTTGTAGCAGATTGATCACATTTTTTGGACGTGACGAGCTCAACACAGATTGCGAGCATGAGTTGACGATGAAAACATCCGCTGCCAGGTATCCCACGCCTCCTTGGACGTAATAGCGGCAACCACATCATGAAGAATCTCCTCAGACATGGAGGAGAGAAGGTCGCTAAGGACTTGTTGATCCTGATCATACGACTGATTATAGGCTGGATTAGAGATCAGGTCAGCACCAACAGTGGTTGAGGAAGGGACCAGCTTGGCAGGTGCAGCAATGGTGCCATCGAGGTAGCCCATAAGCTTCGTACTCCATAGATAGGGGAGGAGCTGGGCACGCCATATGATGAAGTTATTTTTGGTGAGATGGATTGTGACGGCGTGGTGAAGAGGGATTGGGCCAAAGGTCGACGCCATGGTAGTTGAGAAGAGTGTTGGAGATGGTGGATGGGGAGGAGGAAGAAGATATGGTAGACATTGTTAAAGAATAAACCTTGGCTCTGATACCATGATAGGTTGAATGGCATTGTGACCTATATGGGTCACGACCTCATATATTTATAGACATGTATAATGAAGATTACATTATAACAAACCATGAATCATAGATTTCGTAACAAACCATGAAATCATAGATTTGGTAGCAAACAAGAAAATCATAGATTCTCCTTAATTCATGGTAACAAACAAGTAAATCACTAGATTATCTTATTATGTACATATATGATCTATTCTATGACGTTTAGCATGATGAACATCTTCGTCCCGAGAGGCCTAAACCAGAGCAAGATGATATCATAGATGTGCTTTTGGCTATTAGTAAAAAACAAGATGAATCTTGCACTATTGTCATTACCCATGAAAACATCAAAGTCATTCTTTTCGCAACAATTTTCATCCCTATTCTTTTATGGGTTTTGCGCTAAATGATTAGTTTAGTTTCTAACGTGTTCTATTGTACATTGTACATCAACGGAACATATTTTTGGGAGGATTAGGCACTGGTTCAATTACACTAACTTGGGCAATGACAAAACTCATAAAGAACCTAAAATTGATGAAGAAAGCTCAAGAAGAAATAAAAAAACTATGTGGAAAACAGACGAAAGGTAGCAGAGAAAGACATAGAACAACTTCCTTATTTGAAAATGATAGTAACAGAGACATTGAGACTACATCCACTAGCACCTCTTCTTATTCCAAGAGAAATCATTTCCCACTTCAAAATTGAAGGCTACGATTTTTACCGAAAAACAACGGTTCAAGTGAACGTTTGGGCAATTGGACGAGACCCCACATTACTAGAAAGACCCAAAAGAGTTCCTTCCAGAAAGATTTGAACAAAGCTCAATTGATTACAAATGACAACACTTTGAGTTCTTGTCGTTTGGGTCTGTTCATAGGATTTTCCCCAGGTTGAATTTCGGGATGAAGACGGTGGAGCTGGCTTTGGCAAATCTTTTGTACCATTTTAATTGGAGGTTACTGGAGGAGATGGAGGAGGAGGACTTGGACATGGAAGAGACATCGGGTTTGAGTCTCACCATCTACAAAAAGTTGCCTCTAAAACTTGTACCAGTTTTATACCATCCACGAGTATAAGTTCGAAGTCGAATCCTCTAATTGTGACAAAAATAATGAGTGTTTTTATATGTAAATAATTCTTAAAATCGAATAATGAGAGGGCATAAATTAAGTGAACATAAATTTGGAGTGCAATTTGTGAAATGAGATATACATACAATATGCATGGGATTAGTCGCTTCAATGGAATCTTTTATTCGGGTCGGAGGAGAAATTACCAAAAGTCTACCATTCCCTCATGCTCGGCGTCAATGAATTTTTTTAGACAAAAAAGAAAAGCTATGCCTTCGCTGTAGAAAATATGAATAAAAAAAATATAAGTTTTTAAAAAAAAGAACCGAATGTACTAAATTCATAAGGATTTCTCTCCCCATCACTCTACTTTGTTCAAGACATTTGATCTCATAGGATGGTCGGATGGTCGGGTCTAATGCATTGAGACAAAAATCTTCGAAGTTGATTTTCGTCCTTTATTGTTATGTTTTATTTCATCTTGTACTACTAATAAACACTTTTAAATATTAGATTTTGATGCAGGTAATTTTTCAATTTTTTTTTCGGAGTTGACAGCCATTTTTTTTATATCATTATATTTAGCGCTATAAGAATAATATCAAGAAATCTTGAACTTCTATCGACCCTCATATTTTCTTTTTTAGTAATTTTTTGATCGACTGTTTTTAAAGACAACCAAATAAAAATTTGAAAACATTTCATTGTTTAAACATATGAGGATGAGAACGCAAAAAAATTCACGATTTGTTTTCCGTTAGGCTCGATATATATCTACTTAATCGAAAGTTCATCTTTTCCTCTTGTTCTTGAACTCTTTCTAAAGGTCTATCCTTTATTTCCTTCCATGGCTTCCCCTCATCTTCTTCTTCACTTTCCTTTTCATCATCCTAGAGAGAAAGCAGCTGCAAATAGAATGAAGGATAATTTTCCCCCAAGCCCACTTCCAATCATAGGAAACATGCACCAACTTGGCAAGCTCCCACACAAATCCCTATGGCACCTCTCCAAGCTTTACGGTCCCGTTATTGTTATATCATCGGCTGAGACCGCTCATACCCTCTTGAAAACCTACGATCTTCAAAGATGTAACAAACCACAAACTCAATCTATCAAAAAACTTACAATTTTCTTGACATTGCGTTTTCACCTTACGGTGATTACTGTCGAGAGATACACAAAATTTGTATGATTGAACTTTTCAGTATGAAGAGAGTGTTATCTTACGAACTCATTAGAGAGCAAGAAGTTCGTTTGCTTATTAAATCAATTTTACAATTAGCTTCTTGTGGAGCTACTGTTGATCTTACCGAGAAATTCATTGCTCTCACTACTGGTGTTATTTTTAAAGGGGATGGATTTCATGAGCTTGTAAGTGAAGCTGAGGCCCTATTGGGAGAGATTTTTCCTAATTATTTTGTGGAGAAGATAATTGATTGGCTCAGTGGTCGAGAAGCTAGACTTGAGAGAGTTTTTAATGAGATCAATGTTCTGTTTCAAGAGGCAATTGATGAACATCTTCGTCCAAAGAGATCTAAGGCAGAGCAAGATGATATCATTGATGTGCTTTTAGCTATGAATAAAAAGCAAGCTTAATCTTACACGGTTGTCATTACCCAAGAAAGAATCAAAGCCATTCTTTTGGTAAGCAACTTCTATTCCTAAAGCTTTAATGGATTTTACGCTAAATTAATAGTTTAGTTTCAAAACTCTCAATCTCATAGCCAACGAGTTTTTGAAGTAGCTAATATATCAATAAAATCTTGTGTTTACTAAGTTTTAGAGTAGATACTGAGCCTATTTTCGGGCTTCATGCCTTCTCCATTATCTCACCGACTTGTATAATGTACATCAACATAATATATTTTTGGCAGGATTAGACACTGGTTCAATTACAATAGTTTGAGCAATGGCAGAACTTGCAAAAAACTCAAAATTGATGAAAAAAGCTCAAGAAGAAATCAGAAACTATTTGGGAAACAAACGAAAGGTAACAGAGAAAGACGTAGAAGAGCTTCCATATTTGAAAATGATAGTGAAAGAGACCCTAAGACTACATCCACCCGCACCTCTTCTTCTTCCAAGAGAAACCATTTCTCATTTCAAAATTGAAGACTATAATTTTTACCCGAAAACGATGGTTCAAGTGAACGTTTGGGCAATTGGACGAGACCCCACATACTGGAAAGACCCAGAAGAGTTCTTTCCAGAGAGATTTGCAGAGAGCTCGATTGATTACAAAGGACAACACTTTGAGTTCTTGACATTCGGGGCTGGTCGAAGAATTTGCTCAGAGATGAAGTTGGGGGTGAAGACTGTGGAGCTGACTTTGACGAATCTTTTGTACCATTTTATTGGAAAGTAGCCGGAAGGATTGAAGGAGGAGGACTTGGACATGGAAGAGACATCGGGTTTGAGTCTCACCATCTATAAAAAAGTTGCCACTCAAACTTGTACCCATTAATGCCACTCAAACTTGATTGCATCAAATAATTTTACACTTTTTGTAAGCTAACTTTTCAATTCGTTTTTGGGTACTCTTTAAATCTTAAAGTCTAACACTACATTTTTTATTGCTAAAGAGAAGTTCAAGTTTAAAACAAACACAAAATCATAAATAAATATCAAATTCAAGTATTATTCTTGATAAGAAAAGGAACCACTACAAGGGGAGTAAGATTCAGATTACCTTGTTGATCGAATATCTCAAGACAAGAACATTGTTTGAGATTCGAATCACTCCACAAGCAAGATCGATCATGTCTAGCTTGAATGATTCTTGTTGATCAAATATCTCAAGGCAAGAACACTTCCATGAGATTCGAATCACTTCACAAGCAAGATTGATCATGTCGAGACCTAAACTACATAGAATTGCAAAGAAACTTAGCCATTGGCTAAAGTAGAGCACAAATGCTCCTTTTTACTATATTTTTCAAGTCCCTTCCACATACAACATACATGGCTTTATATAGCCTCAAAATGAAACTATAAAGTCATTCCAAGAGTTGTAACATCCATATTTAATGACCATAATTAACCATTATGTAATTGTAACCTATAGTAAATAAAGTCTTAAAATACATAAATGAAATACAATAACTCTAAATTGTAACCCACCCAAAATTTATAACAATCAAACTACATTGTCTTCAACGTGGCATGAATTGAAACATCTTTGGATAATTTTGACAACCTTTTCTTCACATTTTCATTGAAGTATATTATATAATTGATATCTTTTGGTTCATATATCAAATCAAATCAAATAATTGAAATCAACTTTACCCCAATTTTTTCTCCCTAAAAAGTTGTGATTGATACCTAAAGCTTGAAAATTACTTTGTTGATATTTTAAAAAAAAATTTAATAGATTTTTTTACTATTAATTTCAAAAAGTAAACAAATTAAAAAATCTAAGATTTTTTTGAATTTTTCTTGACGTATTTAATCATATTGGATTAACACTAAAGGAACGGGAAAGTATGGGTCACTTTCTACCTCTAATGCATTGAGACAAAAATCGTTGAAGTTGATTTTCGTCCTTCATTATTGTATTCTATTACAGTATGTATCATTAAAAATCTAATCATAATTTCTAAACTTGATTTCGATCTATTAGAAGATTAATATTCAAATTTATCACGCGTATTAATGTTTCAATTATTGTTTTCCATCGTGAGAAGATGACAGCTTATTGCTTTCATGGACTGGACCGTAATTTTTTAGATGGTGGACCGCAATTTCTATGGACCATCTATGGACCATCTATATGTTCTTTTTAAATAATTTTTTAATCTACCATTTTTTTTAAAGATACCACTGAAAATTTAAAAATATTTCATTATTTTCTTCAAATAATGTATAATGTTTTGTTTTATGTCTGAAAGGAGAATCACCATTTTTATTCCTAATGTTTTTCCTCTCGTTCTTGAACTCTTTCTCAATTTCAATGTCGTTCCTTCATTTCCCTCCATGGCTTCATCTCATCATCTTCCTCTCTTCACTTTTCATCATTCTAAAATGGAAAGCAGCTGCAAATAAAAGAAAGTGTAATTTTCCCCCAAGTCCACCGAAAATTCCAATCATTGGAAACTTGCATCAACTCGGGAAGCTCCCACACAAATCTCTATGGCGCCTCTCTCAGCTTTACGGTCCTATTATGAGCCTCAGCTTAGGCCGTATAGAAATCATCATCATATCATCTGTCGAGACTGCTCGTGCCCTCTTAAAAATCCACGATCTTCAAAGTTGCAACAGACCACAAACACATGCTATCAAAAAATTCTCTTACAATTTCCTCGACATTGCGTTTTCACCTTATAGCGATTATTGGCGAGAGATACGCAAAATTTGTATGCTTGAGTTTTTCAGTATGAAGAGGGTGTTATCTTACAAACCCATTAGAGAGCAAGAAGTTGGTTTATTTATTGAATCAATTTCACAATCAGCTTCTTGTGGAGCTGTCGTTGATCTTAGTGAGAAGTCAATTGCTCTCACTGCTGGTGTTATATTTAGAATTGCATTTGGAAAGCAGTTTGAAGGGGATGGATTTCATGAGCTTATAAGTGAAGTTGAGGCCCTGTTGGGAAGCTATAGTGCTTCTGAGTTTTTTCCAGTTCCTTTCGTGGGAGAGGTATTTGATTGGTTTAGTGGTCGAGAAACTAGACTTGAAAGGGTTTTTAACGAGATGAATGGTTTGTTTCAAGAGGTGATTGATGAACATCTTTGTCCTCAGAGGCCTAAGCCAGAGCAAGATGATATCATTGATGTGCTTTTGGCTATTAGTAAAAACCAAGTTGAACCTTGCTCGGTTGTCATTACCCATGAAAACATCAAAGCCATTCTTTTTGTAAGCAACTTCTATTTCGAAAATTTTAGTTTAATTTCCAAACTTTGAATCTTGTGGTTATCTAAGTTTTTGTGCAGGTATGAACCTTTTTTGCTTTATCTCCATCCTTCTTGTCTTCTTTTAACATTTTTCTATTGTATGATGTGCATCAACAGGACATATTTTTGGCAGGATTAGACACTAGTTCAATTACAATAGTTTGGGCAATGGCAGAACTCGCAAAAAACTCAAAATTGATGAAAAAAGCTCAAGAAGAAATCAGAAACTATGTGGGAAACAAACGAAAGGTAACAGAGAAAGACGTAGAAGAGCTTCCATATTTGAAAATGATAGTGAAAGAGACCCTAAGACTACATCCACCCGCACCTCTTCTTCTTCCAAGAGAAACCATTTCTCATTTCAAAATTGAAGACTATAATTTTTACCCGAAAACGATGGTTCAAGTGAACGTTTGGGCAATTGGACGAGACCCCACATACTGGAAAGACCCAGAAGAGTTCCTTCCAGAGAGATTTGCAGAGAGCTCGATTGATTACAAAGGACAACATTTTGAGTTATTGCCATTCGGGGCTGGTCGGAGGATATGTCCAGGATTGAATATGGGGGTGAAAACTGTGGAGTTAGCTTTAGCGAATCTTTTGTACCATTATGATTGGAAGCTGCCGAATGGGATGAAAGAGGAAGACTTGGACATGGAAGAGAATTCAGGTTTGAGTCTCACCATCTACAAAAAGTTGCCTCTCAAGCTTGTACCAATTTTATACCATCCATGAGTAGTTTTATGGCTTAGACTAATAAAGGGTATTTTTATATTTAATAAGTAGAACTCTTTGTTACCGACAAAATAGATGATGTGACAACTAGGAGTTCCAAATCACGTGGGCGTTGGAGGGGCATGGACCTTAGCTTCCTACTTAATCTGTAAGTAAGATGAATGAGGAAATATTACATAAAATAAATAAACATCAATAGTAAAAATACTTTATTCTAAGTTAAAGTCTAAAAAAATTAAACTATTTTATGCATGTGTTATGGTCTGACTTGCAATGCCGTCGTCAGCGGTACAGGTGTGTCTAGGGTTTACCTGAAATACATATAGCACATAACTTGAGTAGGCCCACTATTAGAGTAAGATGAATGAGGTCTATCCTTTCTATCTGTATTCTCTTAGGCGACTATCTTAAACGGGCAATTGAATATGTATTTACTTATTCTACACATGGTCCTCACATGCGAGTATGGACCCACCAATCAGTTCCCACACCTCTTGGACCCCTTTTCTAGTCGGGATAGCATTCTTTGGTGTTATTTCGGACACCCGGTAGGAATAGTGACCATCACAGCATTATGATAAACATAATGATCGTTTTCTTGCCTCATAACGTAAGCATCTATATCATCGTGAAAGGGGAGTTTCCCTAATGCATGTAACACACAATAAGATATAAGGTCCCAACATTTTTATTCATTAAATCATATAAAACAACCCCTTCCATTTTCCTTCATATCATATCATTTTACAACATAGCCTCTAATGCATCTATTGGGGTTGAATATTGTATCTTTCATATCATACATCGTCTTATGTCATATCATGCACATAACATATTATAAAATATGTCACAACATGTATTATATCGCCAAATGTGTTATACCATAACATATATCGTATCATCAGCACATCACATCACAATACGTGTCATAACATTAACATAACATGTCATAGTTATATCATATCAAGACATACCATAGTCATATCATTTTATAACCATTTTATAAAATGATATGACTATGATATATCTACAATATGTCATCAGCACATGCATGTGTCAGTGTGGGCGAACGTCTTGGAATGAGCATCTTGGGCTTCTTTCTTTGAAAAGGGTTGATAAGGCAAAACCCTTGAATCAAAGTAATTAACATCTCCTTGTACCAAATTTGAATCAATCATGAGATAAGACTAGAATTAGATTATCTCTTAGGATCAAAGATGTAAAAGCAAGATTTGGAACCTTGTTCTAAATTGAGTCATTCCACCATTGAACTTGATCAAAACTTGATTGAATGGCTCCGATGCAATTCTACCACAAGAATTGCTTGAAACTTAGAAATAGAAAAATTGATGCTTGGATATATAAGGAAAATATCTCAATTCGATATCTCAATTTTATTCATCCACGAATCTGATTTTTACGTTACATATGGTAGGTATTTTATAGTCTCCCGACAAAAGATGTTTGTGGCCGAGATTCAATCCCGATCTCCTTTAATCTCCACAAAAGACGAAGTCACTTTTTATCATTTGACCATTACAAAATAAAAACGAAAAAAACAATAAAGCTTTTCAATAAACATGGATATGTTTGAGTGGCTAAGAAGATAAACTTGAAATCTATTGAGCTTCACTCGTGTAAGTTCAAACCCATTTTAAAGTTCTCCAACTTCAACCGTGCAAATATTCAATTGTCCGGTATCCGCTTATAATTCTAGAAAGGATTGTTGAACTGAGTCGATCTGTTGAATTTTCTTGGCCTTGCTTCAACTGTGCAAATATTCAATTGTCCGGTATCCGCTTCTAATTCTAGAAATGATGGTTGAACCGAGCTGATCTGTTGAATGTTGAACTGAGCTGATCTGTTGAATCTTCTTAGCCTTGGATCGTGTAATATGTCTAGGTCCAGTTATGATGTATGAATCGTGTTGTTGGGAACCAAGATGACAATGAGATGCGACGTGATTGTGTTGTACATGATTGAGCATGCACGCACCAAATGCTGTGTGTGGCTAAACAAACTTGGATTCAACAATTAATTCCTATACAAAGTTTGTTCCAAATGTCGCCACGAATCTAACCAAACAAGAATCATGAGTTTTGGTTCACCCTAGAGTAGAAATTCGAGCCTGAAAGTTACATTCTTACCCATGGTTCCGAGCTCTTTAGTTCTGGTTTCTGGGTCCTTTTCAAAAATTGGTTCAACAAGATGAGAGAATCTTCTGACATTCTTCCATTTAAGTTATTAAAATCTGACCCAAATAATTGTATTATTGCATCGGATAATTTTCACTATAAAAATTAGTGTGTTAGTGTTAAGAATGAGAAATAGAATTGGAATCGAAGGTGTGTATTCTCATTTGATGGTGTTAATATAACACATGCGGAAGCAATTTGGATCTTAGGCACTCTTAGAATATCAATTATAGTAAATAACTAGCATGTTCATAAGTATTAAAACTCAAGGAGTTTGAGTACTAACCTTTTCTAATTCAAATTCCTTTTTTCTCATGAACCGTTTTCGAACCACCATTAGTGTCTTTCTTCTCCTCCGACCTTAGAACGAGATTGTGGAATTCAGTGAGTAACTAAACTTGGAAGGGATTTAGTATATATGAATAGAGTGTTTGAGAGAGTTTGTGAGAGTTTTTCTCAAAGTTTTCCAAGTAAGAAGTTCCATGTACCTTTATCACTCTATTTATAGAGTCAGATTTGCATGTGCATGCAAATTTGAGATCACCAAATTTTGACACTCAAAATTCCACGTTAGATTATGTGGCAAGCAAGCATGTAAGTTTGAGTTAACCAAATTTTGACGCTCAAAATTCTACCCAAATTTGTGGGGTTTAATTGGCAAGCACCCAAGTTTGGTTAAACCAAATTTTGACACTCAAAATTCCACTAACTCAAACATGAATTTTTCCATTTAGTGAAGTCAACATTTTGACTTTCTTCATTTAAATTTCAAAGCTATTCTTTTGGTAAGCAACTTCTATCTGCACTAAATTTTTAGTTTAGTTTCTAAACTTTCAATCCCACGGTTAACTAGTTTTTTTTTAGCAATATTGAGCCTTTTTTGCGATGTCTCTATCATGTGTTCTCGTTATCTCACAACCTTCTAACATTATTTTTATGGTATGATGTGCATCAACACAACATAAAGATATTTAGTACTTAATCATAATTTATCATATATATCATATTATCTCTTATTATAGGAAAATATCTAGATATTTGACTTCTATTATAGTTTATACATGTGTATTTCATTTATTGTTATTTCCATTTATTACTCTTTCCATATCCTTGTAATTTATTTGATTATAAATAGATAACTTTCACACCATTTAGGTGTCGTGGCTTAAGAAAATATTCTCAGTCATGCATTCTCGGTTATCTGACCGCCTTCTAACATTATTTTTTTATTGTATGATATGCATTAACCGAACTTATTTTTAGCAGGAATAGAGACAAGTTCAATTATATTAGTATGGGCAATGGCAGAACTTACAAGGAACTCAACATTGATAAAGAAAGTTCATGAAGAAATCAGAAATCAGGTGGGAAATAGAGGAAAGGTAACAGAGATTGACATAGAAGAGCTTCCATATCTGAAAATGATAATGCAAGAGACACTGAGACTACATCCACTAGCACCTCTTCTTGTTCCAAGAAAAACCATTTCCAATTTCAAAATTGAAGGCTACGATTTTTACCCAAAAACGACTGTTCAAGTGAAAGTTTGGGCAATTGGGCGAGACCCCACATGTTGGAAAGACCCAGAAGAGTTTCTTCAAGAGAGATTTTGCAGAGAGCTCCATTGATTACAAAGGACTACATTTTGAGTTCTTGCAATTTGGGGGTGGTTGGAGGATATGCTCGGGGTTGAACATGGGAGGTGAAAACTGTGGATTTGGCTTTTGCAAATCTCTTGTACCATTTTGATTGGAAGTTGCGGGAGGGGATGAAGGAGGAGGACTTGGACATGGAAGAGAAATTAGGTTTGAGTCTCACCGTCCACAAAAGTTGCCTCTCGAACTAGTACCAATGTTATACCATCCATGAGTATTAAACTTGAAGTGGAGTCCTCTAATTGTAAAGTATAAGACTTGCCTTATGTATGACGACACGTGACCAGTGACCCTTGCATGTGTCATTTATGCTTATATACTATGATGATGATTATGTGAGCTAGTATGATGTGATGTTATATTATGATATGATGACATGATGACGATGGAGTGTGATGATGATATTACTCAATATGATGATATTTCATATTAAGATGATATGTATATACGAGATGACATGCTGCATTATGATGAAGAGTTTTCCGAGACACAACACTACACGAGTGTAATGATGATGAATGTATGAAGGCTAATGCATGCATGTTACCTAGAATATTATGTGAATGATGTATAGGGTTGTGTCATAAGAATAATTTAAGATGAAAACTATAGTGACCTCATGCATATTGTGTGTTCATATATTTTGGGTTACTTCCCCAATTATGATAATCAGTACAAACACGTACACTATGATGATGATCATCATCATGCCTTCATGATATTCAAGAATTTGCTGACATCCGGACATCCGACTACGAACAACTAATCTCACTATGATGGGCCTAGGAGGTGCAAACCACCTGGTGGTCTAATGCTCGCACATATGGATCGTGTGTGGTGAAGTACTACACATCCAATTTTGTCCGGACTAGAGACCACCTCTCTAATCGTTTTAACCATGTCCCTAATCATGAGTTGCATCTTTTGCATTCCCTAACCCAATTAGTACGACCATTTACTAAGTATTTTTTAAAATACTCAAGTCATGGATTATTTCTATTTTTCAGTAAATACAAGTTACCCCTATATACTGATGATGACTTCACAGAATGACACTTAAAAGATAAAAGTAGTAATATAATTTGAAATAATTCAAATTGATCCCAAAACAAGATAACATCCATTCCAATCAATGAAGTTTACCCAATTTTTTTAAAAAAATTCTCCCTAAAAAGTTGTGATTTTTTAAAATTAGGTTTTATTTATCTTTTAAAATGAATTTAATAGATTATTTTTTACTTTTCAAAAGTAAATAAATTAAAAAATTGATATTTGATTTTATTGGATGTCACATGGAAGGTATGGGCCACTTTCCACATCTAATGCATCGAGACTATGGGAAGGTATGGGCCACTTTCCACCTCTAATGCATCTTTTTCGAGTGAGAGGGAATTTTGCCAATTTCTGTATAATAGACGAATACGCAAGCATACGTTTCATGCTTGTTTGAGTGTTTTCTCCTCGTACGGCTCGAGGAAATTCAAAGTCCTTCCAGGAATATCAATACTGTTACAAATAGTAATCATAGAATTGGATTTTTTCTAAGCAGAGCCTAGATACTTCATTTTATTAGTACAACCGAGAAAACCATAAATTATTCTAATTGATAATATTAATCTGGATACCCCAAAAAATAGATCTAATTCCACTTCACGCTCCAAATTTTTGCATCGAGACAAAAATTTTTGAAATTGATTTTTGTTTTTTATTGTTATTTTCTATTGCAGCTTGTATCATTGAAAATATAATCGTAATTTCATTGGTTAAAATACAGATCATCTACTAGAAGATTAATAATCAAATCTATCATGCTAATGTTTCAATTTTTGTTTTCCATCTTGAGAGGATGACAACTTATTGCTTTCATGGAGTGGACCGTCATTTTTTAACATTATTTGTTGGTGTTATAAGAATAATATCAATGGACCATCATTTTTTTTTTTTAACAATTCATTATTTTGGTTCAAATTTCTATTTAATCCAAAAGAAGAATCACTGTTTTTTATTCCTAATCTTTTTCCTCTCTTCTTGAACTCTTTCTAAACTTGAATGTCGTTCCTTCCTTTCCCTCTATGGCTTCCCCTCATTCTCTTGAAAATTGCCGGCCGAGATGGCTCGTGCCTCTTGAAAATTCATGATCTTCAAAGCTGCAACAGACACAAACACATGCTATAAAAAAATTCTCCTACAATTTCCTTGACATTAGGTTTTCACCCTATAGTGATGATTGGCGAGAGATGTGCAAAAATTGTATGCTTGAGTTTTTCAATATGAAGAGGGTGTTATCTTACGAATCCATTAGAAAGCAAGAAGTTGGTTTACTTATTGAATCAATTTCACAATCAGCTTTTTGTCAAGTGGTTGTTGATCTTAGTGTTATTTTTAGAATTGCATTTGGGTAGTGGTTTGAAGGGGATGGATTTCATGAGCATATAAGTCAAGTTCCTGTTGTAGGAGAGGTATTCGATTGGTTTAGTGGTCCATAAACTAGACTTGAGAGGGTTTTTAATGAGATATTCGATTGGTTTAGAAAATTACTTTGTTGATATTTAAAAAAAAATTTAATAGATTTTTTTGAATTTTTCTTGACGTATTTAATCATATTGGATTAACACTAAAGGAACGGGAAAGTATGGGTCACTTTCTACATCTAATGCATTGAGACAAAAATCGTTGAAGTTGATTTTCGTCCTTCATTATTGTATTCTATTGCAGTATGTATCATTAGAAATCTAATCATAATTTCTAAACTTGATTTCGTTAGTTAAAATATAAATTATCTATTAGAAGATTAATATTCAAATTTATCACGCGTATTATCGTTTCAATTTTTATTTTTCATCGTGAGAAGATGACAGCTTATTGCTTTCATAGATTGGACCGTAATTTTTTAGATGGTGGACCACAAAAATAATTTTTTTAAAGATACCACTGAAAATTTAAAAATATTTCATTATTTTCTTCAAATAATGTATAATGTTTTGTTTTATGTCTATGAAAGAGAATCACCATTTTTATTCCTAATGTTTTTCCTCTCGTTCTTGAACTCTTTCTCAATTTCAATGTCGTTCCCTCCATGGCTTCATCTCATCATCTTCCTCTCTTCACTTTTCATCATTCTAAAATGGAAAGCAGCTGCAAATAAAAGAAAGTGTAATTTTCCCCCAAGTCCACCGAAAATTCCAATCATTGGAAACTTGCATCAACTCGGGAAGCTCCCACACAAATCTCTATGGCGCCTCTCTCAGCTTTACGGTCCTATTATGAGCCTCAGCTTAGGCCGTATAGAAATCATCATCATATCATCTGTCGAGACTGCTCGTGCCCTCTTAAAAAACCACGATCTTCAAAGTTGCAACAGACCACAAACACATGCTATCAAAAAATTCTCTTACAATTTCCTCGACATTGCGTTTTCACCTTGTAGCGATTATTGGCGAGAGATACGCAAAATTTGTATGCTTGAGTTTTTCAGTATGAAGAGGGTGTTATCTTACGAACCCATTAGAGAGCAAGAAGTTGGTTTATTTATTGAATCAATTTCACAATCAGCTTCTTGTGGAGCTGTCGTTGATCTTAGTGAGAAGTCAATTGCTCTCACTACTGGTGTTATATTTAGAATTGCATTTGGAAAGCAGTTTGAAGGGGATGGATTTCATGAGCTTATAAGTGAAGTTGAGGCCCTGTTGGGAAGCTATAGTGCTTCTGAGTTTTTTCCAGTTCCTTTCGTGGGAGAGGTATTTGATTGGTTTAGTGGTCGAGAAACTAGACTTGAAAGGGTTTTTAACGAGATGAATGGTTTGTTTCAAGAGGTGATTGATGAACATCTTTGTCCTCAGAGGCCTAAGCCAGAGCAAGATGATATCATTGATGTGCTTTTGGCTATTAGTAAAAACCAAGTTGAACCTTGCTCGGTTGTCATTACCCATGAAAACATCAAAGCCATTCTTTTTGTAAGCAACTTCTATTTCGAAAATTTTAGTTTAATTTCCAAACTTTCAATCTTGTGGTTATCTAAGTTTTTGTGCAGGTATGAACCTTTTCTGCTTTATCTCCATCCTTCTCGTCTTCTTTTAACATTTTTCTATTGTATGATGTGCATCAACAGGACATATTTTTGGCAGGATTAGACACTAGTTCAATTACAATAGTTTGGGCAATGGCAGAACTCGCAAAAAACTCAAAATTGATGAAAAAAGCTCAAGAAGAAATCAGAAACTATGTGGGAAACAAACGAAAGGTAACCGAGAAAGACGTAGAAGAGCTTCCATATTTGAAAATGATAGTGAAAGAGACCCTAAGACTACATCCACCAGCACCTCTTCTTCCAAGAGAAACCATTTCTCATTTCAAAATTGAAGACTATAATTTTTACCCGAAAACGATGGTTCAAGTGAACGTTTGGGCAATTGGACGAGACCCCACATACTGGAAAGACCCAGAAGAGTTCCTTCCAGAGAGATTTGCAGAGAGCTCGATTGATTACAAAGGACAACTGTTAAGGATATTTAGTAATAAATTATAGTTTACCATATATATTATATTTGATATTTTATTATAAAGCAAATATCTAATATTTGCTTTATTATCATAGGTATCTTTCCATTTATTGTTATTTCCATTTATTACTATTTCCATATCCTTGTAATTTATTTGATTATAAATAAGATAACTTTCACACCATTGAGGTGTGGTGGATTAATCAAACATTCACATGGTATCAGAGCCCTCTCGGTTTAACAACCCCGATCATTTCTTTTCAATGGCTTTTGAATTCTCTAATCTTCTTCTCCACCACCCCTGCTGGATTTGACGCCGCAGGGGCAGTCTTCATGGCTGCCGCAGGCGGAGCCGATTGATTACTCTTCGGCTCCACCCTATTGACCTCCAAATCACTTTTCGTCATACTCTGTACATACAACCTTACCTTTTCCAACCCAATCAGTTTTCCCCTTGGCCAATATAGTCTCTCTCATTTTCTTCCCAATCAACCTTCATCCTTCACATACACCCTAACCTAAACCTATCAACCTTTTGCAGAGATTTACCTTCGAAATCTGGGTGCCGCACTGGCCTATTCGCCAACCAAGTTGCCGCCGCCCTTCCTGCCAAAATTGGCTTCTTCGCCCGATGAGGCGACTCTTCCGACTGCCCTTCTCGCCAAAATTGGCTCCTTCGCCCAATGTGGCGACTCTTCAGGCTTCAACATTGTCTTTGTCCCTTGCTCTAGGTTTCCCCTTCTACTTCTTGGGGTTAGAAATATTCTCACCAGAGCCAAGGCAGCATCGTCGCTAAGCGACAATCCCTCTTCATGGGTTAGACATATTCTCGCCGAAGCCAAGGCAGCATTGCCGCTGAGCGGCGATTCCTCTGCAATTTTCGATGGCCAAGAAAGTGTTTCTCTACGCCTCCTCTGAACCAGGTTGTTGACTTCTTCAAGAAAAGTGTTTCTCAACCTCTTTGAATTTTTCAGATTCAAGCTTCACGTTCGTTTAAATCCGA